CCGCGGCTTCCGCCGCGCCCCCAGGTCTCTTGAAAGTTCACATGCACTGCAGAACATTTTCAAATGAGGACTTCCATGGAACCTACTTTTAACCACATGCTGCTCTGTCTAACTATATCCCCCCTTCTCTTTTCTCCTTCCATTTCTCTTTTATTTCTTCTGATAGAGGAAACATTCAATTTGCTCAAAGTCACAATAATTAGTGGCTAAATGGAAATTAAAATCTGAGTTAGGAGGCACCTGTAGACATGGCAACCCAGGACTCTAGTAAAATGTAGATGAAGACTCCGATTTAGCCCTTTCCAAAGGAAATCCCTTAACCCTCTACACTCGCCAGTCCTCATCACGTAAAGCCTGTACCCCACGCAAGGACTCGCACTAACGGGGTCACGTGGACTGTGGGAGGTGACGCTGGGAGTCCACAGGACAATGTCGGTACCGGTCCTTCGCCAAGACCCTTTGACGGTGCTCCTGGCCTCCCAGGTGACTTGCTCTGGTTATGGGAAGTGTAGCAGGCCCAAGGGAAGCAGGGGCTTGAAAACTCATTTGCCTGCATCCACTCCTCTCGAGAGCGCTCGCTGCCACTATGAGAAGGGGGGGCAGTGAGAGACGCATGCAGAGCTGAGGCCACCCAGTGCCACAAGCACCAGTCTGAGAGCAGCCGACCTCAGACCCGGCAAGTCCCCAGGCTGCGGCTCAGACCCGTAGGATGGCTACCTCTTCAACTCGTGAGAAATGACAAACAGCTACTTTATAAGTGATGGCACTAAAGCCAGGGTGGCCTGTCATACAGCAATAGCTAACTCACCCCTGTGTATCCAGGCAGGACATGAAATACCAACGATAATCAGTTATTTACGTGAATATAAACATACATTTTTATGTTTAACCACACTGGTATGTGTTGAAGTAACAACCATGCAAATCTAGGAATCTAGGTCTCAGAGCGCATATAAAATATTATTTTCTGAGTACAAAAAAATAATTTACATACAAACTTACTGATCTGTATTCTGCTTTAATGCAATTTTGTGAAAGAGCTTAAATTATAACATCAACATGGCATACTGTGTTCTTTTTGTTTTTAGTTTGCTATAGGGTGCATGTGCTCATCAGAGAGAGACTGAGACAGAGAGAGAGAATGAGAGAAAGGGAAAGTAAGAAACCGCTCCCCACGGGGATGGCCATGCTGTAACCCCCTCTCCTCCACTCTCTCTCAGGACTTTGGGCACACATGCACACGTGCCCTACGTGATTTTCAGGCCACCAGGGCCGGGACTCGAACTGCAAAATAGGCCATATGGGATCTAGCCGCCTTAACCTCCACACCATCTACTGGGCCCCATCATCATTTTTAATTTGACACCAGGTTAAAAATGTCACCAAGTGTCAAGAAGCCACTTACCCCAAGGATGTCGTCCACCAACAGTGTTTTCCTGGACTTTGCCACGTAAGCAGAGATGGTGGTGCCCTGGGTAATTGGCCCGGCCGGGATGAGCTGGGGCTTCCCCTCCTGTATTCCAGGCGGTGTGAACACACACAGGCTCTAGGAAGAACACACAAGGGCTAGTAGAGCTCTCCTACACATTCACACAGTGGAGGAAAAGAGCCTGATACTACTTACTAGTCAGGATAAACCACTAGAGCTGTAGGTCCTAAAGTGAGGCAAGGTGCTTGGCGATGGTCAAACTGGGGTGTCTGAGGTGAAACTCTCACAGTTCCAACTCACACACATACAGGCTTGAGATAGGCCTTGAGTTTATAGGCACACACACAGAGAAATGCTTAAAATAGCCTCCGCCTTTGATACACAGACAATAATAAAACGACTAAGAAAGGTACTCTTTGGGCTCAAGATTGTCTTTCCTTAAAGAAACCCTGGGCCCAACTCCCCTATAGATTGACAGTTACATCTGAAGATAGGCCCAAGGACTTGAAGTGATTTAGTTCTATTTTTCATTTTCATTAAAAATCCTTCTTTTTTCAGAACATTATTTCTCTCACTGTTTTCCCCCTTAATTTTGCTCATTGGACAGCAGCAGACAGAGACAGGGAAATAAAGAAAGCATGCCCCTTAGGGGGATGGTCAGGCCACAGTCTTTACTCCTCCATTCCCCAGCTCCGTTCAGACTGTGGGGACACACACACACACACACCCCTGTGTGCTCTGTAACCGTGTCTGGACTGAAACCGTGTCACTGAGCGTGCGGGACCCTAAGCACCACACCCCCACTGGCCCTTCTGTCTGCCTTTGAGAGCTCAGGCACCCACATTGCTTACATGACCCATCGGTTACAGATTCAGCATATTCTCCACGAAATATCTGCTCTTTTCTTCACAAAAATTTTGACAAGTGTAGTTATCTTTTCCTCTCAAATAATTGGATAGGAGAGTAAATTCTGAAACTATTTTTAAAATAATCCACTTTAAAAAAATAGGATTAGGCCAGCCCCATAGCTTAGTGGTTAAGGGAGCCAGGTCCCATATGGCCAAGCACACAGTTCAAGTCCCAGGCCCTGTGGCTTAAAAAACATGCTGGGCACGTATGTGTGCATGCCCCAAATTCCGGCAAGATGGAAGAGAAGAGATTGTGATGTTAACATGCCCCCTGGAGAGTTCTTTCTCTCTTTCTCTTCCCATCTCTCTGTCTCTGACAAGCACACATAAATAAAATAGGATCAGCTATTTTGGTAAAATCTAATCATATTTAATTTTTGTCTGCTGCATTATAATTGCTAACAAAAGCAAATAACCTAGAGACTTGGGGGCAACATTTGACATAATTAGAGCATGATTATCTGACCAATTTGAAAAATATTAAGGTTCAAGTAAATTCTCCCCACATTTCTTTTATTTTAAACAGGAGTTCTATAACTTACAGGCTGAAGACCTTTTGAAACAATAAGTATTTCAGACAACCTTCTTCACTCAAACGGGTTCCTATGAATACTTCTTACTAAAATAACTCTAAGGGTGGGCCAGTGAGTCAGAAATATTTATTAGCTCATCAGGTAAGTGATGTTTTAAGCTTTGTACTATCAGAGAACTCCTTCTTCAAACATCTTACTGATAATCACAAGAGAATGAACCCTATAACCTTGAACTCCTTGCTAAATCAACAGCTTTGGCTTAACTGTGGTTAGCTTAAATCAATACTATAGAAAGTTAGAAGTGCAATTCAAAATACTGAATACATCCCTAGTAGATCTGCATAATGAAGACTATGGTTAAGTAGCATTTGCTATTAAGTTTAAATAATAAACTTCAAGTGGTTGTTTCAGAAAGGATTTAAACTTAACACGTTTACATACTAGGTATTTAATATAAAACTTACAAATTTAAAAATTACATATGAGATGACAAATGATAGTTTTATCTCAGTTACTTTTGAAAATGTCAGAAACTAGTGTTACTATTTTTAAGTTACTGTAATTATATTATGCACCATATATGGGGAGACTTCAAAAAGTTTGTAGAAAAAATGGAACTTAAGTACATATTTATTTTTTGTGCAAAATATGTACATCTGTGCATAATTTTTCATAATACACATGTTCCTTAAATTTCTGGAGGCCTCCCCTACAGGTGGAAAGTAGTCAGCCTACTGCTATCTTCACTGTCTGAACACAGCTCCGAGTGCTGCCCCTTCTTGGGCATGAGCGAAGAGTGGAAGCTGATCCCAGAACAGGAAGAAGCCATGACTGTAAGTCAACACTGAAAGGGTAGGAAACATTTCAGAGAAACATCAGAGCTGAATTTCTCAAACTGAGAAAGTTAGTCACAAGGGGGATGCTGAGCAACTCTTCCTTCTCTCCACCAAAAACAGAATGCCAGGAAATGAACTTGAGTTGAACCGAGTGGTGCAGATAGCTCTCAAAGAAGACTGCCCTGTGCCAGTAACAGAAAATAAACACTGGAGCAAGCTCCCATGGGGGCTTGACTTTTTTCTTTTTGAGCATAGTTGTTGGCTTTACTTGTTTGAAGATGTATAACACCTATCTTTTTTAGATGAATTATAAAGCTGAAATTGATAATTACTACAAGTTACATCTAGGTAAACAATTCAGTAGTGACAGAATTTCTTACACATTCCTATGTTAGATGACCATTTACTGAATACTACAAAACACGTTATGCCTCTAAGCAGATGAGCAGATGCTAAATAAATCCTGAGGTGTGTGGAAACTTGTCTATATAGTAAACTCTTGGAAATAAAAGGTTTACAATAAAGTTACAGTGGGAACTTCACACTGGTTTTATGAATTGGCTTCTCTCATTTACCAAATAGAGAAGTTTCCCAGGGAGAAGTGGGTAAGAGGGCAAGTGCTGGCGAGGCACCGACAGCCGAGTGGCATGCAAGCCAGGAGCTCAGCAGAGGGAAGAAGGCCCGGCTGAGAACAAGCACCCGGCCTGCCCTGCTCCCACAGCTGCCCTGCCCTCCTTCCCAGTGAGGGCTTCCTGCTTTTTTGTTTTCTGACCTCCGTATAATCCACCTGTGCCAGAGTTCTCTTCATAGCATCCACTTCTGCCTGAGGATCAGCCCCTAGTTTGAATCACCTGTTCCTCAACAGCATGTTCTTTATGGTTTTTGAAGTTGGATGAATCGATATAGGTAGCGATGATCTCAAACACTAAAAGTCATAACCTTCTAGACTAGAGGCGGAATTCACGGGTTTTCAGGGGTGGGGAGCAAATCTTCCTCTATTAATGCCACAGAAACAGGACGTGGACAGTCATGTCCTGAACTGCCCTCCTCCCACTGACTGCCGCCTTCACCAGGCACACAGTCCCCAGGTACACTGAGTCTGCGTCTCAACTCCAGGTCAAGCGCTGGGTCCGTCCGTGTGCCACGCTGTTTTAATCGCAGTAATTGTGTAACTACTGGGGCGTCGGGAAAGTCGCGATGCATTTTGCACAGAAAAATATACAAAAGTGCAACCTGACTTTCCCGACGCCCTTATAATCTTGTGGTTTGTTAAATCAAGTCTTGCCTTGACTAACTGATGTTTTAAAATAATCATGCTTTATTTAATGCTTAATATAAGCACTAAATAGTATATATTTTGTGGGTGAAGAGTCTGCATAACCCATTAACAAATGATGGGTGTAAATAAGTTCTACAGAAGTTTACAGACAGAAACTTTATTTTTCAAAATCAATCAATCTAGTTTTCAACCTATTGACATGACTGATTAATATCTTAATCATATTAATAAGATACAGAAATATTAGGGCCAGCAGGTGGCGTGGTGGTTACGGTGCTGGACTTTCACACAGCTGATTGCAGTTGGAGTTGTGGACCTGGTGGCTTGAAAATCGTGCCGGGGACATAAGCATGGGTACCCAAACTTCCAGGAAAGAGCAGAAGAGATGGGATGATAACATGGACACACCCCAGGGAGAAATTTCTCACTTTCCCTCTCATTGTTTCTCTCTCTCTCTGGTGCGTGCACTTGCTCTGTGGCAAAAACCTAAAAAATAAAAATAAAAATAAAAACTTTATCTCAAAAAAATATATAAAAATATACCATCTTCATAGGAAGAGAGATGGAAATATCACCAGGCAATACTTCATAAGTATTAAGACTCCCATGCATCTACTTGCATATATTAGTAATATCAGATTTTTCTAGAAGACCCAGTTTGAACCGGGCCTCTAAGATGAATTCTCACTTTAATATTATATAAACCTATTTAAACATCAGCATGAACATTTTTTTAGAAGCTAGTACAACTAAAGGAAAAGATTTAAAATTGCAAATCTCAACGACCTCTGTCCTTTCCGGAGAAGAAATGAACTGCCTTCAGGGTGTCAGCTTGACAAATGCCTGCCGTGGTTCTTTGAGATCTGCGAGTTCTCCAGTGATGCGAGTACCAGTACCCTGCACAGACACTGCGCGGACGAGGCTGCCGAGGAGTGGGGGGTCAATGCAGATGGGCAGAGGAGCTAGCATCTTCGGTTTTTTGGAGAAACTCATTGTGAACTAGCTGAGATTTCTGCGATAACGGTACACAGATACACACACACACACACACACACACACACACACACACACACACACACACACACACACACACACACACACACACACACACACACACACACACACACACACACACACACACACACACACACACACACACACACACACACACACACACACACACACACACACACACACACACACACACACACACACACACACACACACACACACACACACACACACACACACACACACACACACACACACAGTTAGGTCATCTATATTAATAGTCATAATTGATAGGTTGGTTCAGTGAAGAAGTAAAACAAAAACCAAATGATAAAAAAGCAAAGACAGAGAAACAAATGGGCTTTGTAGAAAACATAAACAAGAGAATAGACCAATATCACTTACAAATACACCATTTTTTAATGAAATGGGAAAATCTAATTATTGTTATCAATCACGTAGGTTAAGTCAATTTTACTTGTTAAGCCTTGCCCTAATCTCTCTTTCTACATGCAATTCAAAGATCACTTTATTGACGAAACTTCACTTC